AATAAACCATAATATTGATCGTTGTAATAACGATAATAGCCGTATTAGTAGTAGTAGAAGCAATAGCAGTAGCATAAACAACAACAACACGTTTCCAACAAACAGTTGTAACGAGAGCGAAACAATTCAGACCGGATTGGCGGTATTTAAAACAGTGGTCCGGTTGTGTGTGTGTGTGCTCANGTGTGCTCAGACGTGTCTGTGCGTCTGTTCTTGTGATGGTATCAATGAGAGAGAGAGAACGAGTCAGGCAGATGGGCAGCCCGAATGAGCGCGTAACCCTATGCGGGGATAGAAAAAGAGCGAACGAGCATAGTTATGAGCGAAAACAGCGAAAGTGACAGTAGCGAATCAAGCCGAACCAGATGGGACCATGTGGTTCGAACAAGAATGAGTTGGGCCAAGCCACAAATAGGATTATTTACGGGAACACGCTCCGGCACGGGGAGAAGGTGAACAGTTGATATGGTCCGGGAGCAAACTGTGCATGTGTGTGTGGGATGGAAGTATCTAAACAATTGGACGGGAGCAGTTCACGGACAGGCTCCATTGAGGAGGACGAAAGGGATCAACGTTCACTGTGCCGAATAGAATGGGTCTGCAATGGAAATCAAAAGGGATATGGGCAATTAATCAGTGATAGGAAAACGACACATTTCGACAAATATGAAGACCGAGGTGCGGATGGGTTAGATATGAGCCGAACAAGAATGAATGGCGTTAGACGATGATGATCAGAACGCCCACGGAACTGTGTGACTTGCAAGTCGGTTAGCACACGAATAAGCACGAATACACACTGGAGGTGTGGCCGATTGCCGTAAGGTAAACAAAAGATGGAATAATGATTCCGAGCTATCCTGATTCTAAACGTTCTTCAATGTGGACTGATCAGCTAAGCGAAATTCACACTGGTCAGATGATGCATTTTAATCCGTGTTGTTCTTCACATGAGAAACGGTTCTCAACCGATTTCACGTGAATCCCAACAGTTGCAACATATTTGGTTGCGCGTAGCTAACCGTTCAGTTCACTTGGCTTTTAATTATACACGTTCGTTGTTGCTCAATGCAACGCGTCTAACGCTTCACGTAGCACAATCCCTTCATCCCAAGTTTACGTGTCTATGTGCTCAATTTTTACAGTGTATCGCTTTTGGGAGGAACCTGACTACTGTGAATAGTACAACGAAATAGAGCAACTGCGTAACCAGGCAGTGTAACATAAATTAATGTACACTGTCGAAGGGTTTTCGTTTAGAAACAGTTCACATTCCGATGAGATAATTTCTTACGGACGCAGAATATGCTATCGACGATATCACCCCGGATGTCTCCAATCCGAAATCGATTGCGACTGTGATGGCAGTGGAGAAAATAAGTTGCAAAACAGAACATGATCTTGAATGGTTGAACCAAAAAGTCACATGGAGTCACGTGGATAATAGGTGTGAGATACAAATACCTAATTTTGACCATTTTTCTGGTTGTCTGAGCGCACAATATTACTGTGTGATGTGGAACCCACTAGATTCGTGGCCAAAATATTCAGAACTGAGCTAAACTACATCAGCAGAAACTAGCTTCCTGGGAGTTCTGTCCCTGAGACTACTTATGGTTCGACCACATGCTTAGAATGACCACTCGACGACTTCTGACATTACTTGCACCATTCATGCGCGCCCGGTCACGGATGGAAAGACGTCTGTGTTGGCTAAACTACAGTACAATGAGGAGGGCTGTGAGGTGAAGAACGTAACAGATTTTGCGCTTATGGACTTCTTCCAGGTTGGTATATACACAAATTCGAATGCTCATGCCTAAACACCCAGAAGGACAGAGCTGGGAGCCGGATGCGGTACCAACGGGGAGGGAGATTTCCCTTCAAATATTAAAAAAAACGCAAAATCGCATGCGACTAAAATATAACAATAATATATCAATAATTGATTCGTTATAAGTAAACTGCTTATTTTTTCACATGAACTATAATAATACATTTATTTCTTCCCGTCCATCTAAAGATTCGTTTACGAACAGTCAGGACCCCGACAAAAGCGACACACGAACAAATCATGATGGATCAAAATACTAAGTATTCTACAGAGAGTCGGATCGCGATATCTAACCGTTACGCGACAGGCGAGCGAGCACGGTGGCACTTTACTTCAATCATCGAAGACCAGATGGCAAACAATAACGAACTTTTTCTATATATTATTCTCGAATGCAAATAAAAGAAAAAAGCTATTATGAGAGGGGAAGACACTGCATACTGAAGAAAGAAAGAAGGCGCGTAGTGTTAACTGGATACGTGAGATACAACGGAACCTGCGATCTGCCTTCGACAGCATCGATCACTTTGCCCTGTGAAACTGTTTGACCAGTTATCAAAATAATCGAAAACTATGCGCTTCGAATTTGTGACCCATCGATTTAGTGTTGTTGGTAGGTTACACTACTTGGCTGGATCAAAGACAGTAGGAACCATGTGGTTTTACATGGTTAATAACCGAAAAGTAGGATGAAAATTCAAAATTGCATGCAGTAAACAAAAGAAAAAATTGTTTGAACTTGATTGTTTATGGACATAAAGGAAATACATTCATCCAGCGGGGAGAGGTAAATTTTCGCATCCGAACCCCGGTCGCGGGAGAAACGGAAATTTAGGATGAAACATGAGCAGATCTGCAAACCACACGAGATTTGAAAAAAAAACTCGACGAGACGGAAGCGGCTTTCAATTGGGCAAATCGATGCTGAGAGTAAAATACGGTGGACCGAGAAGTTAACTGAAACAAGCTCTGAGGGACCGCACGCAAAACGGAAGTGACACACCAGGCAGACATTTGGCGGTTTCAGATCACCAGAACAATACAATGGGATTTCGCGATGCAATAAATAGATATACGGACCACCCCGGATTCGGTGAACGGACGACAATGCGCCGTTAACAGGTCCCAGAAAGATAGAAGTAATGTAGACGCACAGAATTAAATGTATCACCGCTACCGTTGTACTGCACAACATTTGAGAAAGCCTGCATCGTGGATCGCCGAACAACGAGGACAAGTCGGCCCAAAAATAATAACAGATTGTAAGCAGCATGTGTAATGTGATAACGCGAATAGCAGCGCGCAATTCACGAAACAACATACAAACAAGCATTGGTTGCCGTACCCTAAGGGACGTTTGAAAAACAAAACAAAAAACGTATGGTTCTCGACAGTAGTTGGAGAGAGGTCATGCAGTAGTAAATCCAAGTGTAGGGCTAGTTCATAACGAGCCAGTCAACCTCGGTCTTTTCTCTGCGTTTTGGTAAACCGTTGCTGCTGAGTTCAATAAATTCCGTGAACGACAGAAATCACACTAACCTTGAAACTCATCTCTCGAATGAGATCAGAGGTTGAGAAGGCAGAAATGAACGTGTATTACAAACTAAACTGTGCTCAGACTGAAGTCTATGGGACAAATGGGGCAAAACCTAAACTACCATACAGAATATAGCAGCTCCCTGATTTTTTGATGACTTTGTTTAGCGGGAACACC